TAAAAGTTGTATATAGTAGGTAGTACATGAAGATGGAGCATTGTTCTTTCCAACTTCAGGTCTCAGTTTTCTTCACATTGCTGATTTCACACTTTCTTTGTCAAAGGAAAACATGCTAACAATGTCACGGGAAGGGAGAGGAGGGGAAGAAGAAAAGAGAACAGAAGGTAAATGAAAGGAGGGGAAGGGAAAGGTGGGAAGGGGTAGGAAGAAGATAGAGATTAATCTGAATATCTATAAGTGTAGAAAATATAAGAAATATTATGGTAGATGAATGTGTCATAATTGAAATTTGAAGACTAGTGACATTCAAAAAAATCAAACACATGCACAACTTTCTCATGTCAACTTCAAGGTTGTCATTTCAGCTGTAAAACTAGTTCCAGATGTTTATAATAATTAAATTGTGAATCACTGCAAGATATAGGCACAGGCAAAGACTTCTTGTAAAAGATCCCAGAGGCACAGGTAGTCAAAGCCAAAATTAACAATTGGGATTACCTCAAATTGAGAAGTTTCTGTACTGCAAAAGAAACAGTCAGGAAAGTTAAGAGGTAACCAAAAGAATGGGAAAAATATTTGCAAACTATGCAACCGATAAAGGATTAATAACCAGAATCTACAAAGAGGTCAAGAAACTCCACAACAACAAAACAAACAACCCACTTAAGAGATGGGCCAAAGACCTAAATAGATTTTTTCAAAAGAGGAAATCCAAATGGCCAACATACACAGGAAAAATGGTCAGGATCACTAGCCATCAGGGAAATGCAAATCAAAACCACAATGAGGTCTCACCTCACCCAGGTCAGAATAGCTTACATACAGAAATCAACCAACAACAGATGCTGGAGAGGATCTGGGGGAAAAGGGACACTAACCCACTGTTGGTGGGAATGAAAACTGGTAAAGCCACTATGGAAGTCAGCTTAGAGATTGCTCAGAAACCTGAATATAGCACAGCCATCCTACTCCTTAGAGTTTATCTAAAGGAAATTAAATTGACAAATAAAAGAGCTGTCTGCACCTCAATGTTTATTGCAGCTCAATTCACAATAGCTAAGACCTGGAATCAACCTAAATGCCTATTAACAGAAGACTGGCTAAAGAAATTATGGGATATGTACTCTATAGAATACTATACATCAGAAAAAAATGAAATCTGGTCATTTGTAACAAAATGGAGGAACTGGAAAACATCATGCTGAATAAAATAAGCCAGTCCCAAAGGGACAAATATCATATGTTCTCCCTGATCAGTGACAACTAACTGAGCACCTAAAAGGAAACCTGTTGAAGCGAAATGGACACGATGAGAAACAATGTCTTGATCAGCCCTTGTCCTGACTGTCGAGGAACAACATACTATTTTATTCCTTTTAGTATTTTTTTCTACTTAATACCATTGGTTGAACTCTTTAATTAACACACAATTATTCTTAGTTGTTTAAATTTAACTGAAAAGTGACCCCATTAAATATAAGAGTGGGAATAAGAGAAGGAGGAGATGTACAGTTCGGCACATGCTCACTTGGTCTTACCCCTAATGGTAGAGCTAGAAACGTGTCAGGGGATTCCAATTCAATCCCATCAAGGTGGCATGTACCAATGCCATCTTACTTGTGAAAGTGATCAATTTAAGTTCATAATTGATGAAAAAGATAGGACTAAGTGTCAAATGTATTACATAAATAAGACCAGTGTCTGCAAATAATAATTGATAGAATTAAAAAGGATGGAATGATCCCACACGGGAAGCAGGATACACAGCAGACTCATAGAATGACAAATGTCCTAAACAGCACTCTGGCCTCAGATTCAGCCCTTAAGGCATTCGGATCCGGCTAAAAAGCCCATGAGAGTATTTCAGGCATGGAAAGCCAAGACACTGTGACAAAAAAGAAAAAAAAAAAGAACTAAATGAAAGATCTCTGGGAGTGAGATTTCAGTAGAAATAACGGGCCATCAAAGAAGGAGGTACCTTTCTCTGAAGGGAGGAGAGAACTTCCACTTTGACTATGGTCTTGTTTAAACAAGATTGGAGTTGTTGAACTCAAGAGGTTTCCATAGCCTTTGCAGCTCATGACAAGAGTCTTGGATGATTACTGACATAAATAAGAGTGTCAATTGTTAAATCAACAACAGGAGTCACTGTGCACCTGCTCCCCATGTAGAAGCTCTGTCCTTCATGTGTTATACTATGAGAATTAACGGTGAAGCTACTACTATAACAGTACTCTATACTTTATGTGTCTGTGTGGGTGCAATCTGTTGAAATCTTCGCTTAGTATATGCTAAATTGATCTTCTGTATATAAAGATAATTGAAAATGAATCTTGAAGAATGGAATGGGAGAGGGAGTGGGAAATGGGATGTTTGCAGGTGGGATGAGGGTATGGGGGTAAAAGCTGCTATAATTCAAAATTTGTACTTTGGAAATTTATATTTATTAAATAAAAGTTGAAAAAAAGAAAGTTGATCTTAAATTTAGTACAATTACAAAGCCCTTCTCAGTAACATCCTATTAATAGATTAAAATAATGAGTATAATTTTCATTTTAAAAACACATCCAAGCTGGACATGTAAAACGTTTGAAACACAATCTTGGCTTCTTCATGTTGGGACTTCTTCCCTCTTCCTAGATTTCCACAGCTTGTTGAGCCCCATATTGTCCTAGGAAGAAGTCTGTGAGGCCATAAAGAACTTTTGCTTACCCTTATCCCAGATTCTATGGCCATTTGAAGTTACATGGCTTGACCAGCAGCAGACTCTTCTTAACACTAAAGTCCTACCCAGTGCCCAGTCATACCCATGGAAAGCCCTTTCTGTCATGTCTGAAGTCTTCACTGGAACCACTTGCAGGAAATATATTCTTTTATTCCTTCAATCTTGTGGAAGGCACGGTTCCAATAAATCTGATTCACATGCTTTTCCTTCAACCCTTGGAGTCCTCTTCCCCATCTTTGTTAGCACCTCATACTTCCAATAGCAACAGCCTTGATTTTAGTTCTACCGGCACAGGAGAAGTCTAGGAATCCATGACTTAAAATCTGGTTTGGCTCTCACATTGTACAGATCAGATAAGACTGGGGTATAGAATGGTGGATTATATTTTCATTTTGGGGGGAGTCTTTATGAAATACACTTTACTCTATCACATTGTATAATGGTGAGTAATGTGTCCTCATATATTGCCATTTGATACAATTTGAGATTTGTTAAACCACAACTCAACCAGGAGAAGGGCCATTGTGAAAGAAGACTTATGACTGGAATGGGACATGATAATTCAGTTTTCAATTCTGCTGTTCTTTCACAGTGAGTACACTTTAAAAAAGAATTCTCTAAATGAAAGTTGCTCACTACCTGTTTGTCAGTAAAAACATTAGCAGTAAAAGAAAAAGGACAATGGGATGTGCAATATGCATGCCTGCCTCCTCATCCTGGGTCACTGATGTATTGACACTTACAGAACATGTTTAGCCTTCAGTTTGTATGTACTTGAATGCAAAATTGAAAATTGAGTCATGGAAAACCAATGAAAATCTTCAAATTCTAAATAAAAATCTTTATTTGCTCTCTACATCTACAAAGAACTGTTAAATAATACAATTAGGATGTGTGAACAATGCTAACACCATTTATTGGGTCTAGTTTAAAAGTTGTCAATGAAAAAATAAAAATCAGTATAGTATCTGTGAAAGTGATCAGGCTGAAATAGATGATGTACCATTAAAAAGTCTTTAGGGGTTTAATTAGGTTGTCTAAGGTAAAAGCAAATACAGTATTAGATGATTCCAGTGAATTGTCAGCAAGAAATGTAGTACTTTTTCCCCCTTAAGAGAAAAACTTGTTAGTTCAAAACCATGATTATAATCTTGTACATTTCTATACTATGTATTAAGCATTGTGACTGACTTGTATATAAGAGGTGAACTGTAAGATAGGTAAACATTCAAAGTTCTTATTTATTTGAAAGATATAGAGAAAAATCTTCACCTATGTACATAACAATAGTCTACATATCAATATGTCTGTAGATATAGAATGAAAAACTGTAAGTTCAATATATCTCCCTAATTATGTAAATAATAATTTAGGTTACATATATATTTACAAATATGACTTATCTACTACACTGATTAATACAGGGTTTTAGTACTTACCTAAATTCTGGTAACTTCTAATAATGTTAGATACGTTGATGTGGTATTGGAAAAAGCTCTATTTTAGCTCTTTTCTATTGCCTTTGGCTATACATGACTGGGAGTAGTTGCTAATTTAGATTTCCACATAGAATACCATAAATATGAGGGATCTGCATATGAACCTCTATAGATTTATGTTACATCTAAAAATATAAATGCAAGAGGTTAACTACTTCTCAGAGAACCTCATATTATCCTTGGAAGTAATTGTAAACTGTTTAATTATATTAATTGTTTGTACTAGATTAACAACATCATGTGGAAGAATGTTAGTTAACTAACTGAATAAGCATTTTTGTATATATTATTCTATTTCAGTCGATTTATCTTTAGTGAATAAGGATGAAAATGCCATCTATTTCTTGGGAAATTCTCTTGGCCTTCAACCAAAAATGGTTAAAACATATCTTGAAGAAGAACTAGATAAGTGGGCCAAAATGTAAGTATCTTCTTAAAACTACTATTCTACTTCTCATACAAAAATACTAAACTCATAATAGGGTGTTTAATATTTGAAAATATATAGGCTACAACCCTAGTACTTAAAAGCAGAGAGAAACTATGGGGCTCATGCCATCAATACCATGATCTTATTAATGAAATAAATAAGGATCAGAATAAGGTTACATGCCAAGTAAGTAGCAGAGTCAAAAGTAACAATTCTATGATATTTAAACCATTTCAGTTTCTATCAGACCTGTGTTGACACACACAAATCATATATAATCATGTTATTTTTTAATGATCAACAAAGAAGTTAATATTTATGAATTTAGTTTTTTTAAAACAGATTTATTTTATTTGAAAGAATTATGGAGACACAGAGACAGAGATCTTCCATCCTCTGGTTCACTCCTGAAATGAGAGAGAGAAACACACCTGCTGATTCACTCCTACACAAATGCCTACAACAGCCAGAGCTAGGCCAGACTGAAACAGGTATCCCTCCTCAATCTACATGCCCCATATGGGTTGGGTGGACCCCAGTACTTTACTTATATTTGCTGCATCCCAGGGTGTGCATTAGCAGGAAGGTGGAATTAGAAGCAGAGCCAGCACTAGAACCCAGGCACTCCAATACAGATGCAAGCATCTCAATAGCCATTTAAAGTACTGCACCAAATGTTTGCCCTGATATTTATTCTTATTAATAAGAAAATCCGAACTTGTTGAGGAGGTCAAAGGGTTAGATGAGGCAGAAAGCATTTTTTTCCCCAAATGCACGATGGTTTGTTGAGAAAGATGCTTAATGTTAGCTTAGCAAAGAAGGTGTGCTCTAAGCATGAGGGAGCCTTGTATCAGGACTGTGTTTTTCTCTATCTGTTATGTTCTCATTTATTCTTCTAAGGAAGACCTTCACACTCTCACCTTAGCTGAACCCTTTCCCTCTGTGAATCCAACCATCTCAGCCATAGTACTTGGCCCTCCCCAAATGTCACTACTTGTGGGTAGGCAGTTTAGAGATGAGTTTTCATTAGTTTCCCTGTATTGGCTATATTATAATCCCCTGAAGGAAAATAACCTAGTCATGTATTGTATAACTTTCCCTAGTCATTGTTGATAAAATTGAAACTAGAAATATTTTAAATACATTTTCAAGTTTTATTTGTTTTTAACATTTAAATATCTTTAAATATTCCAAATAACTTGAAATATTTTTAAAATATTTGCTGCATATTTAAAACTAAAATATTAAAATGGGGTACGCTAAGCCTGAAGGTCAGGAAACAAAATTTCAGAAAGATTTAACAACACTGAATAAGAATTCTGGAGGCAAGACCTTTAGCTCTTGTAGAAACTCACAGTATTTCTTCACTTCTCTTCATGCTGCTCCCATTTGATGGTGTGTATAGCACCTGTTCTTTAAAGCTTAGTTTATGCTGATTATGCCATTGATTACTAACATGGATAAAACTGAAGAGTTCTTAATTTTAGTGGTAAATAGTATATGCTTACAATTTAATGCAAAATGACAGAGGCTTGTATAATTTATTAATCTGTTATAACTTTATCTGCATAACTTCTATGCATAAATTGCAAAATACTCATCACCACATTTGGGAGCATTTTTTACTAGCAGGTTTAGTATTTAATAAATGAGGGTCATAGTTAATAAAAATGGTTAATATTCATTTTTGGCCTTAATGTAAGAGAGAGCAGAGAATTAGATCGAATGAATTTGAACTTTGCAGAGTGTCCTTGCCTCTTGGATATTCATTCAGCAAGGCTGTGCATTTTTAAAATTTATTTTATCCTCTAGGCATTTAAAAAGATGTTGTCCTGGTATTCTATTCATACCCTTATGGTTATCCTGCTTTAATGTGAGACTAGTTGATTATTGTCAAGATGTTAAAGTTATATTTCAGGAATATGCCTCCACTGTAACACCTACCCTCCTATTGTTACTGCCTTTCACTTTTGCATTTTGCCTTGTGACAGCAGAAAATTTCATAGTCTTCATTAAACCTTTCTACCTAGTTTTTATTAAAGATGATTCAGAAAGGAAGTGCATTTTAATGTTTTAGGCAATGTAAAGGTAATTAAAGAGTCCTTTTTTAGTATTTATTTATTTGAAAGGCAGAGTTAGAGAGGGAGAGAAACAGAGCTAAAGAGAGATCTTCCATCTCCTAGTTCACTCCCTAGATGGCTGCAATGTCTTTGGCTGGGATCCAGAAGCCTAGAACTCCATCTGGGTCTCACATGTAACTGAAGGGACCCAAGCACTTGGACCATCTTCCATTGCTTCCCTAGGTACATTAGCAGGGAGTTGGATTGGAAGTGGAGCTGCCAGGACTCCAACTAGTGTTTACATGGGATGACACCTTGTAGGTGGCTACTTAACATTATGCAACTCAGTGCCAGCCCCCAGGATTTCTTCTAACCAAAAGATACCTGTCATATTTTGCTTTCTTCATTTTACTTAGTTTTCTTGCTTTATGCTATGGTGGCCCAGTCAACATCATCAACGGCTTACCCCAGTGGTTTCTGGGCAATCATGAATTCTTGTGCCCTCTAACCAGAGTACCCATCTTTGATTTCAAAGCTCTTATAAATAATTATTATTAAATATATTATTTACTATTTGATTTTTAATTGTATAATGCTTTATTTTTATTAATAAAGAGTTTTTGAATTTCATATACAGAATTCTAAGAATATAATGATATTTTCCTCCCTCCTTCCTGCTTCCTTCCTTTATTTTCGCTCTAAATTTTTGCCATAACATACTTTCTTTTTTTTTTTTTTTTTTTTTTTTTTTTACAGGCAGAGTGGACAGTGAGAGAGAGAGACAGAGAGAAAGGTCTTCCTTTGCCTTTGGTTCACCCTCCAAAGGTTGCCACAGCCAGTGCGCTGCGGCCGGCGCACCGCGCTGATCCGATGGCGGGAACCAGGTGCTTCTCCTGGTCTCCCATGGGGTGCAGGGCCCAAGCACTTGGGTCATCCTCCACTGCACTCCCTGGCCACAGCAGAGAGCTGGACTGGAAGAGGGACAACCGGGACAGAATCCGGCGCCCCAACCGGGACTAGAACCCGGTGTGTCGGCGCCGCAAGGCAGAGGATTAGCCTAGTGAGCTGCGGCGCCGGCCAACCATAACATACTTTCAATTTACTTTATAATCACAGGCTTATTGTTCTTCTAAATAAAGAGTTCTACAAGTAAAAATTATACATACTACTGTTCCTCATGCATATAGACCAGGGTTATAAACAATAAGCAAGTCATAAGATGTCAGTTTTGCTCATATAGAGTTAAGCTTTTTTTGTTCTCTTATATTGGCTACCACAAAAAAAGAGAAAACATATATTTGTCTTTTTGGATCTGGCTTATTTCAATAACATAATAGATTCCAGTTTCATCCATTTCGTTGCAAAAGACAGGATTTCATTATTTTTATGGCTGAGTAATATTCTATTATATATAACATTTCATTTAACCAGTCTTCACTTGAGGGACATCTAGAGGGTTACATATCTCAGTTATTGTGAATTGAGCTGCTATAAACATGGGGTATGGATAACTCTTTAATGTGCTGATTTTATCTCATTTGGGTAAATTGCCGGGAGTCAAATGGCTGGGTCATATGGACTATTTTCAGATTTCTGAAGAATCTCTATACTGTCTTCCATATTGGTCATATTAGTTTACACTAGGTATGAAGTATGGTATGAACAGTGTTTTAGGGTACCTTATTCCCCACATCCTCAGCAGCATTTGTATTTTTTTTTTTAATTTTTGCATGATAACCATTCTAACTGGGCTGAGGCGAAACCTCTATCACATGCAGAGTTTGAAAAGATTTTCTCTTATTTTGTTGGTTTCTTGATCATGTTGCTAAATGTTTCCTTTGCTGTTCAGAAGATTATTAGCTTGATGTTATTCCATTTGTCTATTTTTGCTTGGCTTGCCTGTGCTTCTGGCATGTTATCCAAGAAGTCTTTGCCAGTACCAATGCCTGTGCCTTGCAATGTTTCACCAATGTTTTCCTCTAATAATTTGATGGTCTCTGGTCTTAGGTTTAGATTCCTGATTCATTATGAGTTAAATTTTGTATATCTTGTAAGGTATAGGTCTTATTTGATAGTTCAGCGTGCACAGATCCCATTTCTTGAACACTATTTTCAAAGAGACTCATCTTTTTCCAGGGAGTGATTTTAGCTCATTTGCCAAAGAATAGTTGGTTGTGGATGTGTGGATTAATTATGGGGTTTCTATTGTGTTCTGTCTGTTCACATGTCTATTTTTGTGCCAGTATTAGGCAGTTTTGATTATAACTTCCCTTTAATATGCCTTGAAGTATGCCATTGTAATGCCTCCATCTTTATTTTTATTGTTTAAAATTGCTTTAGCTATTCAGGGTCTCTTGTGCTTCCATTTAATTTGTGGATCATTTATTCCAGATCCAAAAAGGATGCCCTTGGTATTTTCATTGAGATCTCATTGAATCTGCAAATCACTTTGGTTATATGGACATTTTGATGATGGGAATTCTACCAAAATTGTGAAATAGGAGAATTATTAATTTCTTTGTACCTTCTATTTCTTAATGTTTTATAATTTTCATTGTCTCTACAACTCTTGATTAAATCCTTTCATTTTCTTGATGAAATTTATGTCAAATAATTAAATTTTTGTAGTTATTTTGAATGCATTATAAATGTAGTTATTGTGAATTGGACTGCCATTGCAAGTTCTTTCTCAGCTATGACATTTTTTGTGTATAAAAATACTATTGATTTTGTATTTTAAACTCTGTAACTTTTCCAAACTTTGCTATAAATTGCAATAGTCACTTAGTAGAGTCTTATCGTTCACCTATACAATGGTATTTAGATAGGGCCATATGCAAAGAGGAAGTTCTATCCTCCCTTCAGAGAAAAGTATATCCTTCTTTGATGGCCCCTTTTTTTCCACTGGGGTCTCGCAGATATCCTTCATGCAGTATACTTTTTGCCAATTTGTCTTGGCTTTCCATGCCTGAAATGTTGTCATGGGATTTTCAGATAGATCCGAATGCCTTAGAGGCTGATTCTGAGGTCAGAATGCTGTTTAGGGCGTTTGTCATTCTAAGAGTCTGCTGTGTGGACTGCTTCCCATGTTGGAACTTTATCTCCTTTTTGATTCTATCTGTTGTTATTACCAGAAACTTGGTCTTATTTATGTGATCCTTTTGATACTTAATCCTATCTATATGAGCAATTCCACACTTAATATGATAAATTTATCACATAAGATTGGGGTTACTACCACCCAGCTTAATGGGATTTGGAGTCCCATGGCAAGTTTTTAGAGTAAATCTTAGAGGTAAGTACATAGGAATGTGTGCCAAACTGTGCAGCTCCTCCTTCTCTCATTCCAACTCTTATTTTTAACTGGGATCTATTTTTAATTGACTTAAAACACCTATGAATAATTCTACATTAAGTGTTTACCCAAGAGT